TAAATATTAAAAAGTCATCTAAGTATTGAAAATCAGTTATTAAATCACTATAAAGTTTTAAAAGCCAAAGAAAGTAATTCTAAGAAGTGCATTTTCTATCACATCTTACCTCAAATTAGACTTTATTTTTTTACCCCATATTATCAGGGTAACTTTTTCATTCTAAGGGTTTTCTATTTTTGTTGTTTTGCTCTTGGAAAGCCCACCTAATTTACAATGTCTAATTGCAAATATAGTGAAATTAATCTGTGTTGGAGATTATTTTTTAAAAACAACCTCAGGATACTATTGCCGTGTTCCCTCCTACACCAAAATGAGTAACAATCCCTGTGGCCATCTTTCATTCTTCATCTTTATATAGTAGGCTAAATCATCACTAGAAAAGATGACAGTCTTTTGATGTTTAAAGATTCCAATGTACAAAGTTTTTAAAAACTGAAGAAGCAATCATCATGTTGCCGATCTAACACATCTACTACAAACATAAGTCTTGATTATAAAGATACAGTGAAATACAAAGATAAACTAAAATACAAAGACTTTCCATTCAAGAACCCACCAAAGATTTCACACCTTCAAAACAAAAGTACAGTAACTTATTTCCACAAATCTCATAACCTTAGCATTTCTTTGCATGTGGTCAATAAAATGGAAGCTTCCTAATTTGAAATAGTTTACCTTTGCCAATCCATATTTTCTGCAAATAATCTGAAAACTGCTAAAACACAGCATTTTATCTTTGAATATCAACTTTGTTTATGGAAATTATAAACTTGAATTACTTAATGTAGTACTACTGGGTATATTTACTAGAAATAGAAACATTTTACATTTCACTATACACACATCTGGAGCAGAATCAAATCCTTTTCTTCTCTCCAACTTATGCCTCAATTAAAACAGGATCTATAACGTAGTACACTACAACTCAATTTAAAGGACTGCTTATGGCACAGCATAGGTATAAAATACTTCAAATTACAAAGCGCTTTATCTCATTATTATAAAGCTCAATACTTTAAACACTGGAAAAGCCAGGGTGCTTGTTAATACTGTAAATCCTTGGTATATAGGTATGCTTAGATGATAATATTCTCCAAATCTCTATGACTTCATGTGTCCTAATTGATGATTTAAGAGCACATTTTGGACACTTTTTAAAAACATTGTATTATGGATTTTTCTAAAATTGAGGGAGTAAGACTAAGTAAGGATAAGACCAAATAGGAAGGCCTAGAAAGACAGACATCAGTAACAATGCTCTGCATTAGAGTACATCAACCTCTCAACACTACTACTGCTACAATGCCCTTTGACGGGGCCACAATGGAACTGACATGTGATGGAGGGAGCAACCACCTGCCCTTCTCTAAATCTGTTAACAGATCATCTATACAAGTCACAATGACATTTCTCAGTGGAGGCATGCATTAGAGTGACATCTGCTCAAGAATGAGCGGAAAGAATCTATGGTAATGAAAAAAACAGAAAGCTGAAAAGAAAAAGAGAGAACTGATGGGAGTAGGGGACAATGACAAGATAAAAAGAAGAATTTACTCCTCTCAACTCAAACATATTCCAACAAGAATCAGACTATTCCACACTCAAGGTAAGAAAGCCACTAGAATCTGTCATTTCAAAGAATGTTTAAAATAATATTATTGTAGATATAAAAAAATTATTATAGGACATGCATAAAATTTTTATATATTTGCAAACAATCTTGAAAATACTGATCTGGACATTAGCTTGCCCCTCAGTTTCATTTAGGATCATTTACTTAGCTCTAAGATCTGCATTACCCACCCAATAAAACCTGAACAAAGGTTTCTTGAGAACTTTTGTCTCACAGGACTTTTAATTTACTATCAAGTTCCTCTTAATCTAGATATCCTCTAGTTGAGTTATAGTTTATGTCTTGTTTTCATGAACTTCTTCCTAGGTCTTTAACATTTGGGCCCTAGATTTTAAGAGCAGTTTCATGATCTGCAGTAGTAATGCCTAATTCCTGTTATATCAGTAATAATAGAAATGGGTATTTATTATTTTGTAATTATTGGTTTGTGTTTATTTTCACAAACTAAACATAATCTGAATTATACTGTTTACCTAATAGCACAACCATCCTAAATCACATGGTAACACAAGAAGGAGTCATCACTGATTTTCTTTAAATTTGCTACCTAACTAGGGGTTGCAGATATATTTCTACCTGATTCAGTAGTACATATTTGTTTTGTCAATGTTCTATTTAATAAGCACTTCAATCAAAAATATATGGATTTTAGAGGTTTAGTTCATTTGAACTTGAGAAAGAGCCAACTATTTAGTATAAGAATTAATTGAGAACTAATAATTAAATCATTTTCACATATTTGAGCATTTTTCATAGAAATGTCATGAAGATTCACTGTTTGCTAGAACAGTTTGCTCAAATGGTTATTGGAGAATAAAATGCCTGGATAGTGTTTAGAATCTCTTGAACTGAATAATTTATTACGATTGATTTTTATTATGGACTAGGTAAAAACTTTTCCTATTACTTTGGTACCTACACTAGAAGTCAACAGGGAAATATTTTTAGTGCATAAAATATCACTTTCTGTGACTCTGACTACATCTAATACTCAAAAAGAAGGTTAAGTTGTTTCCTCTGTAGTAGGAGCTTTATTATGCCCTTTATAAAGTGACTTTAGCAAATCAGAAGAAACTTAGGACAAGGAGCTAAACAGGTTAGCTCTGATTCACACCGGCAGGCTGTATTATTAATCTTCTCAGCACTAACAGATTCAGTAAATGAATCAGATTCAGTAAATGAACTTTCATCCACGCACACTCCTGGGACAGTCAAAGCACTGCTAGCTAAGACTTGCGTATAATTTTTCATTTAAATATCACAGGCTTCATTTTTAAATATTTTTTTAGAATCAGGAACAGCAAGTTCAATCTAAAAGAAGAATTACTTTTCAAATTCAACTGCCAGACCTGAGCCTGAGAAGTCCCACTGAACAATAAGCATCAATCATGTTCACTTCTAATGAGAACAGTAAGTCAAACTTTGACTGTTCACATATCACTGTAGAAAACACTATATAAATTTATTTAATTATTTATGAACTTAATTTTCCATTCATAACCATCTCTTATAGTTTTTCCACTATATACATATTATGCTTCTACCTAATATATATGCAGGAAACCTGAGCATGTAGATACTGCCCGTAAGTTTCACTTTTTACAAGATACTTCCTTCGTCTGATAATCCTTTTTCATCAAATGGCAGAGGCCAAAACACATGCAAGTTGGCTGAAATGTCTGATAAGGAAAATAGATCTGAATTTATACTTGGTCCTTTCTCTATAACCCTTATCTCAAAATTACAAGTTTTTCTGAACACCCCAGCTAAGAAAGGACACTAATCAGTATCAATAAGGAGTATACAGAGGCTGGAGAATACCAAAGTAATGGCATTCAGAATCCAGAAATTTTTTTTTACTTGAGGGGGCTTGAAGTAAAAGAGGTATTAAAAGTTAACATTAACGCTATTTAGAAAGGTTAGAACCAGTTCCAATATAGTCACTGCCATGAAAAATGCATTTTCTCAGGCCTCCCAAAAAAGCAGAGAGGAGCTGTATCTAGACTATCTCCAAAAAAGAAAGGGAAAGACACATGTATAAAATAAAATTATTTTTATAAAAGAATTAAAATAAAGTTGGTTTTCCTGAACAACTTCTAATTTTGAGTACTTAACAAAGCTGAAAAGAGATCCTGTCCCGCGGAATCACATTCACTGATGGAGGCTCATATTTACTACATTAGGAAAACAGCAGGCAGCAAGGTAACAGGTCCATGGAGGCTAGCCACTTCCATAATAAACGAAGCATGATGTGAAGAGAAGTTGAAAATCTTTTTCATTTTATATCTTGTTATTATACATCTGTTTAAATCAACGCTGTGGTCTGTACTATTTACACAGCTAAAATTCTAACAGCATATGCTTAATAACTGAATTATTTTGGTAACTCAGTCTTCTATTGAAGACTTTTTTGTATCAGTGAAGTGATGGAGGTCAACAGCTCTGCACAAAAATATATGTCAATGGCTTACATCAAACTTAGAGCTTCTTTTGGAGCAAAGTATAATTTTCCCATTCTTAAAATCTAGGCTCCTGCTACCACAAGCTATTTTTCTATGATTTAATGAAATAAAAATGGGGTGAAAGTAACCACCTTTCTTACGAGAGTCTCTGAACTTCCTATTTCCTAAATAAACAATGGTATGCTTTATTCTAGTAAAAACATATTCTAGTATAATCATGTATTTGTTCAAATAAAGACATGACCATAAGTTCACTTACATGTACATTTAAAAATACAAATGGGGCCAAGGATTTAGCTCAACAGCATACGCACCTACCTGGCAAGCACAAGATCACGAGTTTGATCCCCAGTACCAAAAAAGAAAAGACAAGACAAGACAAGACAAGACAAATAAAGGAATTTATTCATAAACTGATGAAGCCCATAAGCTGCCCAAAAACTAGTATAAATATAGAACCTGAACAAGTGTAGAGTTTTTTCAACATATTAAATACAATAATCATTTAAAAGTACAGAAACAACAAAAGTAATGACATTTACTAAAATATCCATATCCTTCCATTTTGCTGTTTTATACAAACAAGGAAATTTCTGAAAATGCACCAAGACTGATTCATGGGCAAATTCAACAGAATAAAACATAGTCTAAGAAAAATACATTCCATATTTTTTTTTTAATTTTATTTAAGGAGAAAAGAAAAAAAAAGCAGGGAAAGGGTACAAGTTGTACAGATTTACAGAAAAAAAATGAACAGTAGGAAATCACTAGTTAATGGATTACATATTGTCATCTTAGAAATAATTGTTCAAGTCACAAAATTAAAGCTTGTAAAGTGGACATTCCATCAATGATACTGCAAACAGTTCTGTTCATTGATCCAATAAAACTCTGTGATATCATTTTCTATCTTATACACTTAAATATACATGCAGTTATATAGTTTGGAGCACTTTCTTTTCCTCTCTTTTGTACCATGACTATTACACATTTTGGGTTTCATTGCTCCCACGGTTCTTATTGCTTTTTTGGAAGAGAGTAAAACCAAATGTGACATAACAGAACAGAATCGGTCAAGTCAAAAGGGTGGACATAATAGATGATATAAAAACATAATACAAGGTGATCAACAATGGTTACCATAATGCCTCCCGCTATCTCTAATAGAATTGCCTATATCGTTAGTTATAATACAATTGAACAAAACAGTAAAGAATAAAACCGACAAAACCAAAACATTGGAGACATTGTAGGTCTTCAAAAGTAGATAAAAGTCAACAAGAATGGGCGTCATAATGAATCTCATTATCTTCACAGCTGATGCCTAAACTTTCGAACCTGATACTATCCAGCAAAACAGAATAGGGGAACATCAGTTAAAAACCAGATGGTGAGAGTAATACAGGGCTTTAAATCAAGGTAATGAAAAGTCAAAGTGGGTTACTATAATATATCCTATTTTTTTTCCTTTAATTAAAAGGATAAAGATAAAAAAGTAAATAATGGAGTGGAGATTGAGATAAAAGAGGGCATAACAACGAAACAGCGCAGATCAAAACATAACCATTTAAGCAGAATAGTGTTTAAATGTGTCCTTTGGCATGGATAGACCCACAGCATGAAGGGCCTATAAAATTCCATTTTTAGCTGGTAGCTTTGTAATACTAAATATTCCTAATAAAATGTAATACCTTGGAAAAATAGCATTTTAGGACAAGCTTTACTGCCTCACCCTAATCTGAACCTGAGTTACTGGACTGAATGAATTCACAGAAAATCTAGATAATAAGATATTATCCATAATGAGAAGTGGTACAGAGTAACAAGACAAATAAGAACATTCCACCGATACTACCACTCATTAAACTTAGATTTTTCAAAGTACTAAGATATATAAATCTCCAGACCTCAAAATTTCACTATAACTACTTTTTTATTTACACTTGATTTTTCAAAGTACTAAGATATATAAATCTCCAGACCTCAAAATTTCACTATAACTACTTTTTTATTTACACTTGCCTTTATGTACATGAAGGGAAATTTCAATTTGTTTCATTATTTGATATGTTTTTCCTCTGAGCTATTTCAAATCCCTTACAAATTAAGATAGTATAAATTCTGAAAATAAATTATACAAATATCAAAGATACTGAATATCCACCAACAGTGAAACTGTACTAGATATTAAAGAACACAAGAATTTATAGCTTCACTACTCACTCACTACCACGAACCTTGTTTTCTGCCAGGTGGTATATATTTTTCCTTTGTGGGTCACAAAAAAACAAAAACAAAAAACCCACTAAGCAACAGATGACTGGTTATGCAGCTTAAGAACAATGAAAATCTGATGTTACCCGTATGGAGTAAAAGGAACCAGAAACAAAGAGGACCAGCTGAGACTGCTATGGTATGAGGTAGCTCACCCACAGCATGAGGAAGCTCAATGGTCACATTAACTCTGGTTTGAAGATGACAGGGTACAAAGATGCCATGACACTAAAGCAAAGTACTGATAAGAACTAAACAGAAAAGAGACAAGCTAAAGAAATACATCAAAGTAAATAGTAGACAGGAGAGAGACTAAGGTTGACTGATAGCAAAAAAACAATAAAAACCCATAAAACAAACAGATTGTGAGAGCCAAAAATTCAGTAAGTTTGAGTCAAAAGTTTCAGGTAATTAATATGCTAATTATTCTGATTTGACTGCTATAAACTGTATACATGTATAGAAATATTATACTATACCCCATAAATATATAACATTATCTGTCAGTTAAAATTAAATATAACAAAGGATCCACCAGAAAGATAAGAGTTATCAAGAAAAAATGAAATTAAGGCCAGAGAGAACAACAGTTTCTAGGTAGCAACCAACAAAGTTGTTCTGGAAGAAAGTAAAAAATAAGACTGGTCAAATCTAAGCACAATAGAATCTCAAGTCTATAAAGAAAAGCTTGATTATTAAGGTTGCTTCATTTTTAACACTGACACCAAAGAAGTTAACTATGTACCTTCACAGAAACTCCTTAAGGGGTACTCTCAATGACTTGGACCTAGGAGCCTTGATAAACAAAGAAATTATCATAAAAAAGAATGTCTCATACAAGTATGTGCTTCTCAATCCCAGTTTCCAATGGCTAACAATAAATACTTTAAATCAATAATTACAAAAACTCTAGCTAAAATATGTTGCTAAAATATGTTGCTTAAGTTATACATCCAAACACAAAAATTGGCAACTGAATTTTCATAAATCATATACTTTGATATACAACATAAATCTTAGAATAAATATTTATTTTATACAGGCAAGAAAAGAGGAAGATAAAATGGTGAATGCAGGCATCTGATGTTTTGGTCTGAGGACATTTGCTGTAATTGGGTTGCTACAACTACATCTTAGATAAGCCAAAGAAAGCCCAAGCCACAGGTTCCAAAAAGCCATTCATTCAGCTTCCCAATACAGCTGCTCCTCCCTCCGCTGCTTTCCTGCCTCTTCTCTGCAGAAAGACCCTGCTTCACTGATGAGTCTGACATCGACCCAGACTACAGTCAGTCAGAAGGCCTATGTTTATTTGCTCTTCTGATCCTTCCTAGACCACAGGGGATCATTAATGTGCGGGATATCTGAGATAGCACAAGAGATAATTCTACTAAATAAATGACTCTACAACTCACCTTTCAGTTAACACCAAAGGAATAGGAAAGCAAGATATGGTACATCCAACTGTAACTTACTAAAATACAACCACACTTTTCAGTGTAGGACTAACCAAATGCCTAATGGGTACCACAGCTCATCAAGAAGGTAGTTAGATATCCTAAACGTTATGAGAATACTACCTTATTTTAGTCAGGCTGCACTAAACTTGACTTGTAAAAGAAGCCAACCTGAAACCTAAAGAAGTTACTAAATTACTAGCTTAGTACTTATAAGTCAAGGATCAGGTAAAGGCTGCAATACCTTAAATCAACAAACAAATTCAACTACATTTAACAACCTAAACGCTAAATATATAGCTCACTGGAGTAAATGAATAAAAATATAGGGTGAATTTAAATTTGTATCTAATCTATTCAGAGGCCTTTTTCTCACAACTGTAAGTTTAAACTTCTTCTTGCTTGCAATCTAAAGCAGATGAAGAATCCACTCAGATTTCAATGAGTTTTGACATCCACATGCATATGGTATCAGTATGAGCCTCGCTAAATCCTCTTTTATGCAAGAATCACCCAAGATACAATAAGTGGTTTAATAAACAACCTCGGGTTGAATTTCACTAAATCAATATATGAAAAATAAAAAATTGACCAACATAAATCACTTCAATAAAATTACTGCAAACTAACATTCCTGTGGTTTGAACAATCATCAGTAAAGAAAAAACTTAGGGGCTGGGGGTTTAGCTCAGCGGCATAAGCGCCTGCCTTGCAAGCAGGCAGTCGTGAGTTCAATCCCTGGTACCGATAAAAACGAAAAAGACAAAAAAAAAAAAAAAAGAAAAAGAAAAAACTTAAATCAGCATAGCCAGAGGCCAAGTAAGCATAAGGGAATACAATGTGATTTTTCACATTATGCATATTCTTAAAACACAAATTGTTCTTTTTACCTTTCCCCTTACTTCAGACTTTAAAGAAAAACAATCTGAAGTAAAAACAGCCAATATTTATTTGCTAAGCACCTGTCATACACTAGACAATTCTCAAAACAACCCTTTGAGCTAGTATTAATATCAGTAGCCCTACTTTCGAAAGAGGTTGCTAAACAGTATGTTTTCCCAAGTGTCACAATTTATTTAAAGCTGAGGTAAGATTTGAACTCTTGAAATTCATTACACAAAAGATCACTGGAAGAAAACAGTAAATTTTTTTACTTTACTACAGTAAAAGACTGTGAGGAAAGACAGAATAAACGTGTTTGAAGTGAGATGAGGTACTACAAGCATTCTGAGCGGACTGACAGCAGTGAAAACTAATGGCACAATGTCTTACTGTCATCAACTTTTTTAAATAAACATCCATTGTATTTTTGACCACTCCATGTTGGTAACATTTATGGCAATTTCTGTGCAATAAAAACTAATCCTCATCCACCTTATTCATAGATCTGGTACTGTGAGATTTCTGGCTCTTCCCCAAAGTCAAAATGGCAATGAAAGTAAGTTTTTTTAATCAATTCAGGTCACCAAGGTAGCCATAACAGTACAACTAAAGATACTTCAAAAAGAGGACTTCCACAAATGCTTCATAAAGTAGAAGGCACAGTGGGAAAAATGTATTCAAAGGAAGAGGTAGGTATTTGGGGAGGTTTAGTGCAATGTGTCCTTTTACTGTAATAACTTTTTAATTTAAATATTCCCCAAAGTCTTTGATGATACCTTATCTTTTATTCACTTCAAGAATTCAGTCACTTGTCTAATTCATTCAGTAACTTCAAGTGTCATCCAGCATTTCTCCTTTCAGTTCTTTAGTGATCCCAATTCCTTTCTGTTCTCCCCCGACCCACCCAGTTATTCCCAAGCCTCATACTGTCTCATGAAAATAAGGAAGCTTCTGAGCTATACATAGTGATAACCCCAGTACTCCAGGAAGTTGTGGCAGGAGAATCCTAAGTTCTAGCCTAGCCTAGGCAATGTAGCAATTTGGTGAGATACTGGCTCAAAATAAAAAATTATAAGGGCTGGAGATATGACTCAGAGAAAAGAACCTTGGTTCCCCAGTGCAAAATAAACAAATAAAGTTCTACACATAATGGCCCCAAAAGCCACCTAACTAGGTAAAGGGAGGGAAATAAAAATAAAAACCACTATTCTATTCATTAAAATATATTTATAAGCTCAATTAGCTCAGAGGCAATTTTTTTCTATAAAGGATAATGTGATAAATATTTTAGGATTAAGGCTCAAGAGTTCTTGTCCCAGATACTCAATTCTACTGTAGTCTGAAAGCTGTAACAAATAAATAGGAAAACCTGTGTTCCAATGAAAACTATTTAAAAAGTGAAACCATTTATGAACCTAGGCAACAGGAATATCTGTTTTAGGGACAGTAGTTGACTGATACCCAAGCTAGATTATAACCTGAAAGATAATCTAATAGTTTGGGTTCACTATAAAACTCATGACTTCTATATAAATTACAGAAAAATCACTACATGGCTATAAAACAGCTTCAACAACTTTCACCAACGTAAATGCTTGCATTTACTGAAAGGATTTGTACTTTTAATCATATTGTTAAAATCCATTGTTTCAGTCATAAGATTTGGTTTTCTCATACTTTCATGGATATCTATACACTTTTCTGTATCCCCAGAGAAAGCACCTTCCGCCCACAACACATTTTACAAAACCTCAGCCACGCAAATCAGGACTGTTGCATGGCCTGCACTGTTCTTGCCCCACATTTATTCCCCATTAACAGCACCTGTTTCGTCACTGCGAGGCCTGTAATATTCTGTAAACAAAATCAGATTTCCTGGAACAATGAGGCAGAAAGCATGAGAGAGCTCACTTCAGTTAGTGTGTGCAAATTAAACCACTATAAATGTATCAGTGTAAAATTCAAACTTTTCTGATTTCCTAGATTCTGACTGCTGTTTTCATGGTTGCTCAGCCAGTTAGCTGTTAAAAAATGGAAGATGGAATAAGACTTACTGTCTATCACACAGCTACCAGGGTAACTAAAATTATGCAGAAAATTTTTGATCCTTCTCTCACCTATAGCTAAATGTATGATAAATCTTAAGTAACTATATATACTTCCTCTTATTTTTAATACTACCATTCTAATTTTCACTCTTGTCCATATGTTATCTATTTCACTCCCAAGTGTTTCTCATCGCTTACACCATTTAATAGGAATATTTTAAATATACACCCAGGCTAGTTAGTTTAACAGTACACCATGGGTTCTGAATTCATGCCCCACTACACACCACACACACACACACACACACACACACACACATATACACAGTCACACAGAAGCACCCAAATATATTCTCAGTATCATAAACTGTATCCATAAAATCAAATACACAGAAAAAGGTGTAAGAGTAGACAAATGAAAAGATACTGATATTCTAATGTCTTATCCTTATACACCAAAGAGGCACTCACATTCCACTTCAAAACGAGCAGCAAGTTTTAAATCTGACACTACCAAACACATCTTATACACTGAGTAGCACACTCTAATGTATCAATGTAAAAAGAATTATGAAAACGCTAACAAGATGATTCCTTCTATTTAGACAAAAGAGCAGGGAAGTCAAATAGTGAAGCTCATTTAAGATTACGACTTAAAACTCTATATTGTATAATGGAAATTATAAATGAATTGGTGATATATATAACACACTTCCACAAAACAGCAGCACCAAATCTGAGCAGAAAACAGGCCATCCTACAGTTCGTTCTTCACTACATCATAAACAACACTAACACTAACTCCATGAGAAATAAACCTTTTACAGAACAACATGATTTCAACACTAAATGCAAATGATAAAAGGAAAAGTTAGACTATTTTCAAAGGGATAAAACACAGACAACAAATGTGACATAGATATTACTTCATACATACGCAAATACTGTATATCACTTAACATTTCTAAGACATCAAAAAATTTTCATATGAAACGAGTAAAAATTTTCAGGATGATTTCAGAATACTTTGGCTTATCTGTCATTATGGTCAAATTTTCCACTATTTCACTATGCTCTTTAATTTTTAAGGGAGAATACATCACAGGGTCTACATAAGAATACTCCACTATTATTTACTTTTGCTTGTCATTTTGTTCTAAACCTGGAATTTTAGGAACCAGTGAGGAAAAAATCCTTTGCAATTTATAATACATTAGAAGTATAACAGAAATGTTTAATTCATTGGTAGCTGACTTGCCTAACGCAGAGCACTGGATTCAACACATAGCACAAGAAAAAAATAAAAGACAACCATACAGGAATAACAGAAGAAAAACTACTGGTCCATCTCCCAGTCATCTCTGGAGCATGTCCAGAGACATGTGCACAAGTGTGCCTAACTAGTTTTCTAGACATTTCTCCATCCAATCAAGTTGAGGAGATTAATCATCTCATTGGGGTAACTTTAACATTTATCAAAACTTCTACTTTATATGGTTACCTAAACCCAACAAAGGTATTCCTCAGAATATAAGGGGGAA